AATAGACCAAGACATCTGAAAAAGCTCCAGTACCTATGAGAATAGACCAAGACATCTGAAAACGCAATCTGGTCTAATACAGAAAGCCATAGAACTGAAGAAAGCGTTACGAATCGATGACAAACCTAAAAGCCTCCCTCTGCCCATGATCCCATTAGCAGACATTGATGTAGTGTGTTGCACCCAACTGCCCGACTTCTTCAGGAAATCAGACACCCTTCCAGAGCAAATGCTCTCACTGGCCCTTGAGACAATCAATGTCAACTCCCGTGATCAATGGCTCCAAGTCTGATGTTAACTATCCTGCAGATCAATGGCTCCAAGTCTTCACCGGTCATACAAGTCATACATAGAAAATCAAGCAAACATTGGTGCAGGTGTCTAGAAAACCAAGCAAACATTGGTGCAGGTGTCTTTTCTGAATTCTTCTCTTTCTACGCAGCAGCAGAACACAATAGATCCGCTTTTGAAGGAGAAATAGAGGCCATTCAATAGATCCGCTTTCGAAGGAGAAATAGAGGCCATTAGGGTGGCATTATGCCAATTATGTTGCCTGGATACGAAATTCACCAAAACGCGCATGTTTGAAGGAGAAATAGAGGCCATTAGGATAGCACTATGCCGAAGGAGAAATAGAGGCCATTAGGATAGCACTATGCCAATTCTGTTGCCTAAATACGAATATTAGGATAGACTCATGACAATTATGTTGCCTGGATACGAAATTCACCAAAGCAGTGATACTTCCGGACTCACAGTCAGCAATAGACTCTATTGGAAACAGAGAGACACCCAAAACAGCTGCGATAAAGGAATGTAGAAAACTCTATGAGCTGCTGAGAGAGCAAACAAAGCAAACAGAGAGACACCCAAAACAGCTGAGATAAAGGAATGAGATAGCCATCCAAAACAGCTGAGATAAAGGAATGTAGAAAACTGAAACACCCAAAACAGCTGAGATAAAGGAATGTAGAAAACTCTACTCAAAACAGCTGAGATAAAGGAATGTAGAAAACTCTAGAAACAGAGAGACCCAAAACAGCTGAGATAAAGGAATGTAGAAAACTCTATAGTTGCTGAGAGAGAAAAACAAAGCAAACAGAGAGCCACCCAAAACAGCTGAGATATACGAATGTCAAAAATTCGCCACATCATTTATTGAATTAAAAGGAGGTTAGAAAAGGCACTCTCACTTATAATATTAAATTTTTTCTCTCTTTGCAACGAAAACGATTAAAGAGATGGACAAGACCTCTCTTAATGAAAAGAATAATTCAAAATAAAATCAGCACAAAACCACTTGGCTTTTTATGGATTAAGAAAGAAATATGTAATTGATTTAGACTTTCGTAACTTCGCCGTAAGTAGTTTAGAAGAAGATGAACACTGCTGTGAGCAAATTAGATAAAGTGAACTATTTCCCAACAAGCCCTTTCAAATAAGATAGTAATAATAGTAATACTACTGTCAATCCTATGTTTAAGATAGTCAAATTACGATAATCACTTTCGAATTAAAAGTAAACTTATAACTATGAGCTTTGTAAGATAATTGATTTCCTATTTTGGTTAATTTATCACGATTCCTATAATGTGCGAACTGGCAGAAAACAATCATCATCACCTCAACCTATGTGTTCCTCATATTTTTTAGACTTTAAAATGTACACAGTCGTGCGACTTGTTTCAATGTACAAAGTATCAGATTATTTTAACATTTATTGTAAGCATCAATAATTGCTTATTCCCAATTTATGCGTAAAATACTGTCATACAGTCATAATACAGTCATATTAAGCCATTGATAGATAAGACTTTTTCACTTAATCTACTAATAATTCCCTCATGGTGGGTCAAAATGGAAAAAAATGGCAAATTTCGAAACAATCAAGTTTCCTCTTCAGTAAGTCTAAGTGATCAAAATGATCATTTTATTTTTTAATAATGAGCATGATATAGACATGAAAGCACAGAGCTTGAAGTATCGCAATTTCTAAAAAACAGAAAGGTTTAATAAGAAAGCCTTTTAGATTTAACTTTCAAACGTCAACTCTTATTTCATAAAGGTTACTAAACACGTGAAAAGTTCATCTCCATTATAAAGTTGTTTTTAAGTGAAAAATGACGATTATTTTCCATGAAGCAGGTTTGAAGTCTTTTGTAACTTCATGATCCACCCCCCAGGTTTTGTGATGCTGAAAGATTATAGAGATTGTGTGCTTATCCAATGCTCATCTTTAATTTAGAAGAACATTTAGCTGGGTTAGGCAATTTATTTCATCTTTGCTAAATTATTTTGAATAAACAAAGCACGCTGGAATTTTTCGATCGAAGAGCCTTTTGCTTATTGTTTCTGATCAATATACGTGTTGAAAAGCTACAGTCTCGTTTAGCTTAATTGTTTTTTGACTTAAAGCACCATTGATACATTACAATCGAATTATGGGATTTAGAGAATTTATATTTTACAACTGACGGTTTAAATTTCCATAATATGAATGAACCCTTGAAAGGGGGACTTGCGGTCTGTTGCCCCCTAGAAGGACTTTGATTTGCTATTTTATGTTAAAATTAGTATATTTTTAATTCAATTAATCCAACAAGTATATCGTTATCATTTGAAACAGGAGTTATAGATTGAGCATATTATTTAAGGACAAACACAAGGAATTTCACAAAGAAAAATGCATTGCCTGTTTTGTAAAGATGGTTAGTACTTTACATGAGATCGAATGTGAGAAGTACATTCCATCCAAAATATATTGATCAATGCCGTAGGTCAGGCCTATGTGTATATGCGTACCAATGGCTCCAATTTGTCACGTCTGTTTAGGCACGCTTAGACTTTCAATAATGTATAAATCCCAATCTTTTCATTTATATAAGATTTATCTAATTTATTTTAAAATGATATGCTACATCATTGTTCAATAATATATGCTCCTCAGGAAGGAAATTTTATTAGATATGCTTCAGAGTTGGCCACACACACATCATTTCTGAATTTCAAACTCTTGATATTTCATCGAATGGACTAAAAGGATAGACATCAATGGTAATTTTTCATTATTATATGTGAAAATTCATAAAAGTGATTTTTTTCTCAAAAAAGCTTGTGGAACTGGTCATTTTAAAAGTTCACAACTCGAGAATGTGCCCTATCACAAAATCAATGATCACGGATTCAATGTCCATTGGTGCGGGGTGTGCGATAGACTTACCTCCACGTGGTGCACCCTGGGCAACGTATATTCATACGCCAAAATAGTCTATTGACTAGCAGTTGTCTTCTCACTTCAAACTATCATCACCTCACTCTATGCCATATTCGACTATTTTCACTGTACTCACCTCACCTTTGTTCTACCTTTGTGTTTGTCTCTTACATCTTTGAAACACTCTTCTGTTCCCCCCCCCCCATCTCGAGTTTTTTTCAATTTGATGTTCCTTCTTCTCTGTGAAGCCCGAAGTCAACTAAAAGGCTAAAGATAACTATCACATAGAGTGCCAATGATATAAAATAAAATATTGTGACGATTATGCTCATTAAATGGGAAAAAAATAGTAAAATGGATATACAAATGAAAATTGTGCGTCTAGCATTATTGCTATTATAAGGTCAATGATATATAAGAACGTAAATTAATCCTATGAGATTGATTAGTACATGAATTAATAAATATCAATAAAACTTTAATTTTACCTAAGGACATAAAACTCTTCAGTTTCTTCTCAAAAACTGAGCTAGCGTGACTAAATATAGATTGCTTTCGTGTGTTTTGTTTCTTACCATTCTTAGGAATAATTTCTATTTGTTCTGAAAATTATATTCAATTTCACAGAGTAAAGTTACATATGATAACTAAATTTAAAAGGTAGGTATGTGTTTGATTTCACCTTTACATCTCTGTGGTATCTGGTCCCAATATTATTATTAAAAATTTTTTCATCTTTCTAATTACATCAATGTACAAATTTAATTTATTTAATTGAACGATCAAGCCTATTTTGGTTAGCAAATTTTGCAAAATGAAAATGAGTCTATATTTCAAAGAACTAAAAATGTCAATTTGGAATTCCTCTGTGCATATATTTTTAAATATGGTCGACCGTTTATCTTAAAATCAAAATGAAGCAATTTTCTGAGCATTGAGTGGCCTCAGCTATCTGTGAACTTCTGTAATGCTGTATCTTATTCAATTTTACGCAAGATAATTAGCATAAATTATTTGCGTATGTCATATTCCGTACACCAGGTAAATGGATATAAACTTTGAAGTAAAGACAAAATAATTCAACTTGCGTTTGAGATGTACCCCAATTTTAATTGTACCGCTTAATAAGTGTAACGAAATGAGTAGAAAATAGACTAGCAAATATGCTTTAATTGGAACGGAAAGTTGAAAATCTTTCAATGATGTCGATAAAATCCGGTGAAGTACACGATTATACTTAGCAGCATTGTGTGCGATCGAACATTCTGAAACGGGCGATGGTAATCCTGATCGTATTAGGGAACAAGTGAGCTCGCGAGTGCATAGACCTCACGACCAAACAATAACCAGTCGTTATTACAGGATCAAAGTACGCAAAACAGTACTTAACGATTAGAAGGCAACTAATGCCAATTAAAGTAAAAATCCGGAATCAGGAACTAGTTGTTTTGTTCAGTTGAAGAAGGAATTGAAAAGCAATCTCAAAGTTAAACATAAATAATTTTGAACTTTAGGAAAATTATTTGAACAATAAGGTGGAATTAAGGAAAAGCATAATTAAATGTGCTGTCACTTCAATTCTAAAGCCAATTACTTCCTCCATCGAGGCCAAATTCAAGTGAAGTAATAAAAATTATTTCAAACTTTGCATTTAAATTTTCACATTTCGCTTGCGTTCCTACCGAAAACAAAATGTAGAATTCGCTAAAATACAACCCATGTTCTAATTCACACTCAGTTAGAAACTTCTCCTTACAATTTATACCAAAAAAAACTTAATTTCAAGTTAAACATACCTATGACTGTGGCGTTTAATTGTAATACTTTTAACGCTGTCTTCATTCGTTGAATCGCTATGATTTGTTGATGTGATGTAGCCACGCAATTCCTCGTGTAAGCGAGTTTCTTGAACTTTAAGATTGTCAAGGGCAGCGTTCAGATTCTGATAATTTGTTTCCTCTCTTTGAACTTCTTCCCTCAGATCACGTGCTTCTTGCTCCAAACACAAAGTTTGAACGTCTTGATCTGTAGAAATTGAGTCGCACTGAGCCTGCTTTTCAGCATGAAATCTATTCAGCTCCTAGTGGAAAAAAGCATGTGAATTTGCATTGAATAAATACATTGTTAGGAAGAACTCTTTTATTACATAACCTATATCACTTATTTGTAGGATATCCAGAATGAATTTAATCAAAGCCAATGAACTCGAGTTCAAAAGGAATTTGTGTGCTACAAATTCAAGTGTTAGGACACAGACG